AAACCATTAGTAGCACCAAAATAATAATTGATTTTTTTGTTATCATTAATTATATACATATACATATATATACAGTATAAAAGTAATTAATATTGATTAAATAATTAACTTATTGTATTAATGTTTAGTTTTTTGTTATTTGTAAATAATAATTATTATAAAATATATAAATTATTCAAAAATATTGCTAATTATTTAGATAACAAAAACATTTAAAAATAAAAACAATTATTAATATATTTTTTATTATTAATTATTGCTATTTATATATGTTAATTATTATTAGTATTATATATATATATGTTTTATMAATTTATAGAACAACATTATAAAAAAATAATATTATTATTATTATTGAAAAATATTTATATATATATTAAAACAATATTATCGATTATGTAATTAACTAAAAGTATAAATGAAATCTAATTTAATAAATACACTATATTTTTGTTGTTAAGCAATCAAAATATTATTATTTGAATTTAAAAAACAATAGCTATTAATATTTATATATATATATATATATATAATAATTAATTATTATTATTATTATTAGTTTGTTAACAAAAATCGATAATAATAAAAAAATTATTAAAAATTATTAAAAATTATTAAAAATTATTAAAAATTATTAAAAATTATTAAAAATTATTAAAAATTATTAAAAATTATTAAAAATTATTTTTATTATTTTAAATCAATATAACTAAGTATTTGTCTTTATTGTAAATACCAAAAAAATGTCGGATCGCATACCAGAACACGCATCCATTGCTGGTCGACAATAGACGTCAAAACAAACCGTATAATAAACACTAGTATTATTAAATCGACACATAGTATACCCAATAAGCGCCGCTTAGGTATTGTCTTATTATTTATATAGTCATCAAAATTTTATATAAATATATAGTATTAGAGTATTATAATGTTATTAATTAATTATAAATAACTTTTYATATATATATAAATTTATGTAAATTTACTAATTATTAATAAATGAATTGCACTAAAATTAACGATAAGTATAGCAAACTCCCAGTTATTCATTGGAAATAAATCCAAACAATAGAACCCAATGTCGGGTCCACACAAACGTTCAATCATTGACTGGAGTTTCCATTTCTGGCGATACGATAGTCGATGGGAACGACATATATAGGACTCGAGTAGATGTCGGGGTCGATGAGCCGCACATGTTATCCATACGCACATTAAATTAACTGCTAATACCATTGTAAATACTATTGAAAATATAATAGCTATGGCTATTGTACCCGATATTGTTGTATAGCTATCGTATATTAGGAAAAACATTATATCAAATCCGATTAACGCTATATAATAGATACCAAATAAACCATATTTGATTAGTTGATTAAATTTACATACCAGTCCAGTCAATTGTATATGATTGCGTAATTGTACTTGAACAATTTGATAACTATCTAGATAAATACCCAATCGTAGTTGGCGATTGATTTGCTGGTAATTTAATTGGCTATAAGTGCTCAGTATAAACCATATAATAAATAGTGAACATACTAGGGCATAGTATAACACTATAAATGCCAGGGTCGATAGTGTACCTATTAGTACACAAATTATCTGGGTAATTATTTGATAAGGTTGATTGTATGATGATAATAATWTAAATTCATCATTATACACTAGCATATTAWMGGATAGATATATAGATGCCATACTAGTCCATATGACCATGTACCAATATAGATARCGTAAAAATACCAGKGTCAACCATTTTGTTTTYGTTAACATTTTCTGTGCATTATATCCATTCAATTTAATCGTTAATTTTTTACTAAAAAATTCAGTCAATACACTAATAATTGGTTGTAATTGTTTGCTATAATACATTGAATGCATAGTCAAGTAGCCATAGATTGTAAATAARCCGCAATCGGCTAACATATAGTCAGCTAATTGTGAATCCAGTATCAGATACATTGGATCGCATACCAGTTCGCTTATCCATTGTTGGTCAACCAAACCGGATAGTAGACAACGTATGGTAAACAGTATTAGTAGTAAATAGACAACAATTATACCGTATAAGCGACGCTTAGGTATGATATTATTTGTATGGTTATAGTCATCAAAATTTGATATAAATATATAGTATTTTACTAGAAATGACTCTAAAAAAGCAATTGTATTATCCATTTATGATTATTATGTATTCAATATTCATATATATATATATATTTAAAATTATTTCAATAATTATTACTTATTTTTTTTTGATATTACAGTATATTTATGTTACGTATTATAGTATATTATATAGCAAACGAAAATAATGTTTATTTAAATAATTAATAATAAATATATTATTGATAAAAATTTTCATAAATAATAATAATAATAAATTCTATTGTAAATCAAATACAGTGATAAAATTTACTTAAATTATTACAATAGTACTGTTATTATAATAAAAATATTAGTTTTTATAATATACAGGTATATCTATAATTTCATTATAATATTGATATTAATATTAATATTATTGATTATGTAATTAACCTATGTTGATAGTTTATATAAATTTTATTTAATATAAATTTTTTACCAATTTTCTATCTAAGATTACATAAGTTTTTTTTATCAAAAAGTAATAATAAATCATTAATTCAAATTTACTAAAAAATAATTTTTAAAATAGCGTACATTCAAAGTTTAATTTTTAAAAATAAATATAATATATAAAGAGCCAGTCAATTGATCTTGCGCCACGTAATTTTTGAATAACTTTTAAACGGTAAGAGATAATTTAATTCTGTAAAATACATTTAAGAATATCATATCGACCACACTTAATATACACACAATCGCAAAACTAGGATGACCAGATATACAAAATATCAGGACCAACGAAAGACACTATGCTACAGGTCAAACCACAACTGATAAATTTATTATGACAATGAAACTTTGTAGTCAAGAAATAATAGTTTAATATAAAAAAAGAATCATCAAAATCGAATTAGTAGTTTAGTTTTTATGGCTTGTTAAGTTTGTCATAAATCATATTATATAATATGGTCTAAAATAAAAATGATGTTATTTATGACTATTATATACTTATTAGATTTAATTTTAAATTATATTACTATTTCTAAAAACGAAATTTTAATATATCGACTAGTTTTCAAAATAATTGAATTTGAATATAAATCACACTATTGTAATTTGATAATATAATTTATATTAAAATTTGATTATTTCGAAAACTAGAAGACGTATTAAAATTTCGTTTTTATAATTAGTAATATAATTGAAAATTTTATCTTATAAATATATAATAGTCATAAATAACGCCATTTTTATTTTAGACCATATTATATAATATGATTTATGACAAACTTAACAAGCCATAAAAACTAAACTACCAATTCGATTTTGATGATTCTTTTTTTATATTAAACTATTATTTCTTGACTACAAAGTTTCATTGTCATAATAAATTTATCAGTTGTGGTTTGAACTGTAGCATAGTGTCTTTCGTTGGTCCTGATATTTTGTATATCTGGTCATCCTAGTTTTGCGATTATGTGTATATTAAGTGTGTTCGATATGATATTCTTAAATGTATTTTACAGAATTAAATTATCTCTTACCGTTTAAAAGTTATTCAAAAATTACGTGGCGCAAGATCAATTGACTGGCTCTTTATATACCTAAAAAAATAGTCACAAAATTGATATTAAATAATAGCAATAAATATCTGATAGATAGCATATTAGCTGGATAATTTTTTTTTATTATTTAAAAAAATAGTTTATTAGTTTTCTAGAATTATTACAATTTTTAAAAACTATATAATACATAAAATAAAAATTTTATAATAAAAAAATATTTAATGTTTTTAATAATTAATTTTCAATAGGAATTTTTATCAACAACAAAAAAAATAGTAAAAATCATTATTAAATGTTTATTTTAACAATAGTTGCCAATAGTTATGATTATGTTTTTTGTTGGTTAATTTAGTAGTATATTTTTTACTAGTTATTTTACTAAAAAAAGTTAATTTTTAAAGAAAAATAATAAATAATAAATTTTCTATACAATTTTTATTTTATGATAAAAATAATAATGGATAAAATAGAAATTGACTAAAATTTTTAAAAAATAATATTTAATACAAATAATTTTTTTAAGTTAAAATAATAGTTTAAAATCAATATGTAATATAATTAATATTATTATAAAAAAATATTATTTTTATTTATGATTATTTATTCTCTATATTTTAATCACTTATTTATTATCATTACAATTTGCAATAATTATTTTATTAAAAAATTAATAATTTACAAAAAAAATACTATTGAAATTATTGACAAAATATTATAAGAATAAAATTAATAATATTTAAAAAAAAATATTTTTAAAAAAATAAATAATTTTTTTTACTTATTTAAAATGGAATCTAAACAAAACAAAAAACCTAATTAAATAAATGTAAAATTTTTAACAAACAAACACAAAATTTTGTTAACATTTTTGTTTACAATTATTTATTTAGGTTTCTTTTTTGTTTAGATTCCATTTTAAATAAGTAAAAAAAAATATTTTATTAAAATTAAAATTTTGTTATTACAGTTAAATTTTTAACAAAATTTTTTGAGTTTGTTTCTTAAAATTATTATTATTTTTTGTGTATTTTTTAATTTGACAAAAAATTGTTTTATTATAAAAATTAATAATAAACTAAATTTTAAAATTTTCATAAATTTTGTTAATTATTGAAATATTGTTGAAAAAGAAAATAAAATTAACAATATTAATAAAAATGAATGATTCAAATTAATTATTCAAATTATTAGATATCAGTTTAAATTAATTAAAAAAAAAAATTATTCAATTTTTTTTATTACTTATTTATACTAATATCTAATACATATAATAATAACCTAAATGTTTAAATTTAAAAAAATAATAAAATAAAAATAATAAAATTTTAACAAAATTTATTGATTGTAAGCCATGACTCGTACGAAATGCCAGGAAAGTTGCATTTCATGTATAGTATTGTCGGCTAAAAATTGTTTCCACGACATCATCACTGATTGGTTGTTGTTGTTGTTGTTGTTGTTGTTGGTCTCAGTTACCGACTCGCCGACTGTTAGACAACTAAAATACGTGTTAAACAATAAATCTCTAAAGCGGTCACCTTTGACCTCAGTGTCAAAATGGTGGCGATCTTTATAATAGATAGCATAGCATTCAACTAATACTGGCATAAAATCTTAGAAATTACGAGAGAAAAAAACTGTTTAATTAGAGTTTAATAATTATATAACTAAATAAAAAGTAATTAATTAATTAATTATTATTATTATTTATTTATATTTAAATACCTATTATCTGTTTGCGAGTCATTATTTCATTGTCAGACATTAGTTTAAATTGTTTTATATGAAACTTATTGTCGATTATGGATTGTTTCCAATCATTAAATTGTCGATCAATTGATTGACACAACAGTTGTTGTTGTCTTTCATCAAACATACTGTCCAACAGTTGTTTATTTTCAGTCAAGTCTTTAAAAATAACAATATTAGCAAAAAACAGTCCATCGCTTGACAACAACCGTCCAATGATTTCCATTATTTGCCGTTTATTTGACATATAGTTTAGCACAACATTACTGAACAGTAGATCCACTTTGGACTCCAATTGTCTGATACGTGGACTCAACTCAAGCCACGGGACACTCATATCCTGTAAGACATACTCAATGCTGGTATCGTCTGAACTGTTGGCCACAGCGTGTGCTAGCATTTCGGGTACGACATCGATGGCCACCACATGTTTGTGCAGTAGGTTTTCGGACAACTTTCGGGTAACTCTGCCGTCACCGAAGCCCAGATCAACAATCAGATCGTATGAACTGTTATTTTATTAGTAATAATAATAATAATAATTAATAGAAATTAATAGAAATTAATAGAAATTAATATAAAATTAATAGAAATTAATATAAAATTAATAGAAATTAATTAGTTTTATATATTTAAATTTTAATACCTTTTTTCATTTATAATCAATTGTATTGACTCTAAATGAATTGCGTCCGTATTGTAGGTACTATTAGCGTAATCTTCAGGTATTATATGATTCATATTATTATTATTTATTAAAAAATAAAAATAAAATAATTTTATATGATTTTTTTTCCTTCACAAAAATAACTATATATATATTTGTTTTAATAATACTAAAAAATTAAAACTACTATTAAAACAACTAAATTAAAATTAATATATATATTTATATAAAATTATTAATAATTTTTTTATAAATATTTAATAGTAATAATTAAAAAAAAGTTATGTTATAATAACAATACTACGTACTAATAGATGTAATTATCAATCAAATAGACGTATTAAACTGTATGTACTAATACTGTATATATATATATATATATATATATATATATATATATATAGTGTATTGATTAATAATTTTTTATACTCTATTAAATAGTTGTTATAATAGTTGCTAAAAAACGTCAAATAGTTGTTAAAATAGTTATTTAAACTGTATTAAATAGTTGTATATAATTGCCAAAAAAGCCAAATAGTTATTGAAATAGTTATTTATTTTCTTATAAATATTTCAACTGATATATAATTTACTTGTTTTCAGCATATTTACAAAAATGATTTATATAAAAAAACTAAATATTTCTATTGTTAAAAAAGTAATATGAGTTGATAACAGTTTACACATTTTATATAATTTATATAACTATTACTTTTTGTTTTTACATATATTTGAGCAATATTTTACAATTTAATGCTTATATTTTTCAAAATAAATGAAATAGTTATTTATAAGTTTTTATAGTTGCTAACCTAACAAATAGTTATTTATAGTTATAATAAAATTTCGGAAATAGCGTCCACTGGTCAAGTTCGGTGGACATACTAAATCCCAGTTATAAGCGTTAAACCGACAAAATAATTTTTTTAGTTGGAAATCAAGACACTATATATATATATATATATTAAAATTGTTTATTTAAAAAAATTTTTTTTTATTTATTTTAAACTTTTTTAATTATTAATTTAAAAATTACTTGTAATTTGTGATTTTACCCCCCCCCCCAATTTACACCCCCAATCCATTACTAAAATAGATAGTTATTTAATTATTATTTATTTAATATTTATAAAAACTAGTTGTCATTATATTTGTATATAACTTTATATTAATACATACAGTTTACATGCATCTATTTGATTGATAATTACGTCTATGAGTACATTGATTGTCGTATTGATTATAATACAATTTTTATTTTTATTATTTTTATTATTATTAAATATATCAAGAAAAATATTAATTATAATATACACTATATATATATTAATTTTAATTTAGTTGTTTTAATAGTTGTTTTAATTTTTTTTAGTATTATCAAATAAATAATAAAGTTTATTTCATAATCAATTATCAAATTAAACACTTTAATATTATTCAAACAAACAAAAAAATATATAGTTATTTTTGTGAAAGAAAACAAATTTATTTATTTTATTTTTTTAAAAATAATAATAATATGAATCATATAAAACTTAATTTTTTATATGACTTATATGAAAGTAACATAACTTTTATTATTATTATTATTATTATTATTAAATGTATCAAAAAAATTATTAATTAAAAATATAATATCCGATATATTAACACTAGTAGTTATTAATGATAATATACAGTAATATAAAATTATTTTAATTTCAATTTGATTTTATTGTTGTCATAAAACGGTTTGGTTTTTAAAAAAAAATACAAATATTCATTAACTATACATAAAAATGTTTTATTATATTTTATTGTTTTTTTAAAATAAAAACTAATTTACAGTATAATTAACAATAAAACTAAATTAAAAACAATTATTTACATTATTATCAATAAAGAAAAGAAAATAAAATATTAAATTCTAACATTTATTAATGAATAAATTATAATATAACTTTTATTATATAAATTTATATATTTATATATATATTAATTGCTATAAATTAGATTTTATGAAATGTTATTTATTAAGTTAATGTTAGTAGTTATTTTAACATTATATTTTACTATCTATAATAATTTAATTATATATATATATATAGTTATATATTAAGTATTACAAAACATTAATCTACCTTATTAAAAATAAATATTAAAGCAATAATATAAATATAATAAATATATTTATTTAAATGTATTTATTAATTTTTCAAAATTTTATAATTAATAATATGTTGTTATATACAAATTTTATAAATTTCTAAATAATTCATAAATTATTTTTATATTAGTATTGTATAAAACATTATTTCAGATAAATTAAATAATATTAATATAATATTTTTTAAAAAAACTAAATGTGTAAATATTTTTTGTTTTGTTTATTATGACTAAAAAAATATTATATTTTAATGTCAACTAACCTAACGAACTCTAATGAATATCATAAAAAAAACTTTTCAAATATATCCAAAAATAATCTCTAAATTGACGGCTAAACCAAAAATAGATTAACGTATAGAAATCGCTGGCAATTAGATAGCAATAATAATATGGCGTATAATTAGTATCGGCAAACACTTTACAAACGTTAAAAAACATTAAGTTAGCTGGATAATTTTTCGTATTAAAATAATAGACAATCATATTAGTATAGACAAACCAGTTAGCCAGTAAAAATACAATAATTTGTAATACAATACGTATGGCAATGCTATCCATATTATTTGGTGTAATTGTTGTTGTTGTGTTGTCCTTTTTCATATAATTGTAAGCCATTGTATACAATAAGCGTATCGAATAGAATAGTCCTATCAAACCGGGTACCATCAGTTGCAATACAAATCGTATGATAATTAGATATTTACGATATATATAGCCATCAGTTAGTTGTTGAAAATATGTTGGCCTAAAGTTTAGAATATTAGTACAAACTATTTGWCCGGTTGTATAGTCTAGATATACGATTATACTGTCCAGACTAAATGGTATGGCTAGTAGTAGACTGGCCAACCAAATTGAAATAATCAGCAAACGATTAGACAGCCGGTTCAATGGGTTCAGGTGCGTGAATACCATAGTCAACGATATATAGTGATCAGTGGCTAACAGTGTTGTCGACAATGATGTTATATACAGTGACCAGTTTTCGCATAATGAGGCCAACGATTTGACTGTATAGGTAAGTGCAGGTAGATGGACATATTGGAGCACCGGTAGATAAATTGTATACGAATAGGTGCATCCAATTTTCAATATTAACTGCGATATTGCTATATTCATCATTAATAGTTTTGGACGTTTGTTTGTATTATTATTATTATTATTATTTGCATTATTTTGTTGTTTAAATGAATACAACATAACTCTAATTATAATAATATCTGATATTATAAACACTGTTGTGATTATAAACGACATTATTATTATTATTAATTGTATTGAATTATTTCCAAATAAAACAATCACTGTATTGTTAGCCATTAATWATTTATTTATTTTTAATATAAATAAATTTAATAAATTTAAATAACTTTCCAAATTTGTTTTTAGTTATAAATATTATTAAAACATAATAACAATAATAAAACAATATATTTTATTTTATAAGCTTTAACTTTACAAATGTTGTACTTTATAACAAAATTAATTAATTATTTTATTTATTTTATTTATTTTATTTACAATTAAGACATTAAAAGTACATCCTGTATTTATATTTTGAAAATAAATATTATTAATTGCAATAAATTAGATGATATAAAATATTTGTATTATTACAGTTAATATTAATTATTTAATAAATTTAATRAATATTTTTATTTAATTAGTTTATTTTATTTATATATATATATATTATTTTTATTATTTATTGTTTTTATGTCTAGTATTATGTCTAGTATTTATGTTTATTGAAAAATATTGCTWATATTAACTAGAAAAATAATTGWTTTAATAATTTTTTTATTACCAATTGCAACACTAGAATAAATTAACTAYTATTTTACAATAACATAATATAAACTATTAAATRGAAATACTTTTCAGATATTTCCAGAAATATTCTCTAAATTGACGGCTAAACTAAAAAAATAACTGGTAATTAGATAACAATAATAGTATTGTATATAATTTCTATTAGCAAGCTCAATTATATAGATCATTATTTCATTGAATTAGCTAGATAATTTTTGTTGTTATTAATAAAATATTGTACACTACAATTAATTATGAATAAACCCACTAGATATAGATAATTTAAAGCAATTTGTAATAAAATACGTTTGGCAATGCTATCCATATTATAGTTGTTATTGTTGGTAATGCTAAYGTGTTGTTGACCATTTTCAAATAGTTGTATACTATAGAATACARTAGACGTACAGTATATAAAATAGTACTATCAAACCCGGGGTACCATCAATTGCTTATACAAATCGTATGATTTAAAAAATATTTTCTATATATATATATATATAATCTTCGGCCAGTTGTATGAAAAATATGTTGGCCTAAAGTTAGCAATATTTTCAAACAAACTATTTGCCCAGTTGGATAGTCTAGATAGATAATTTTTGTTGGTTAACATAAACGGTAGTGCATAAATAGTAGACTGGCCAACCAAACTGTTAGTATTACGATACGGTTAGATATACGGGATTTAGTGTTTGGGAATACCAATATTAACCGATATATAGTTGYTAACAGTGCCGTCGACAATGATGTTACATACAGGTGACCAGGTTTTTGCATAAAGTGACCAACGATTTGACTGTATAGGTAAGTGCAGATAGATTAACATATTGGAGCACTGGTAGATAAATTAAACATGAAAAGGTGCAACCAATTTTCAATAGTAACTGTGATATTGCTATATTCATCATTAATAGTTTTGGACGTTTGTTTGTATTATTATTATTATTATTTGCATTATTTTGTTGTTTAAATGAATATAATATAACTTTAATTATAATGATATCCGATATTATAAACACTGTAGTGTTTAGTAATATCATTATAGTTATTGTTAATTGTATGGATTTATTTCCAAATAATTATTATTGTTTGACATTTATATATATATATTTTT